CTGTTAGAAATTTTAATTTAAAACAAATAGAATATAATACTTCTTCACATAATTCTTAACATATTAATCTTTTATATCGCAATAAAATACATTCTAATTATAAACAAGATGGAAATATCCTAAAAAAGAAATAAATACTAATATATCCATCAGGGATCCTAGTAAAAAAAAAAATTAATTAATTATCTAAATTCAATATATCCAATTTCTCCAACCAATTAACATGTTGCAGAAAACCAAAATTATATATAAATTTAAATGTCCCTTGGGAGATTATATCTCCAACAGAAAAAAATAATATTTATGTTGGACACACTACAACTATGTTGTCTCGGAAGTTGACTTTTTATTTGAATGATGCAAATAACATTTCTAAACATTTACAGCAACAAGTCTGTTCACATTCGCAATTTGGAAAAATTCTTGTTGAAAATACATGTATATTTTTTCATGAAAATAATAAACATATACTAAAAATTCTTGAAGATATCTATATTAAAAAATTGAAACTTACACTCAATAAAATTAATTATGAATACTGTACAAATGCTTTAAAATGTTTACAGTAGATAGTTTAAAAATATCTAAGTTTTAACTAATAGCTTTAAATATTAAAAAAGGTAAACATCTTAATAATTTAGTTACCCACCCCATGGAGTTACTGCACGTGTTTTCTTACATCCTAAACCTATAAAATCTTACAGTACATAAGTTTAGCGTTTTTCACTTCACAAATAAAAAATAATTTTGAGATAAACACAACCAATTTGTTTTAAATAAAACAAGACCCTGATAAAACAATACACTGACGATGACATTTTGTTAATGTCGAAAGTACTCGAAATAAATGAACATGCATCAATATGGTAACTTTCTTTCTTCCTTTAAAAGGATACTAAGAAGCTTATCTGTGAATATGAGAGGATTATATAAAAATATGTAGACAAATCTTGTATAAATTATTTAATGAGACATGGCTTAAACATACCAAATTAATCGCAATATATATATATATATATATATATATATATATGTGTGTGTGTGTGTGTGTGTGTGTGTTTGTGTGTGTGTTTGTGTGTGTGTGTGTGTGTGTGTGAGATGGCGCCGAAAACATTTCGGCCCATTTAAGTCACCAAAACTAATCGACTGATCAAACATCAGAGTTCGGTTCGGAATTCGTAAATGATCGATTGATTGACTGATTCGTTTTCTACAGCTTATCACCCCATTACAGGTTAGTTAAAGCCAGAAAAAATTCTAGATTATTAGAATTTTTTGGTAAGATAATAATGATTTAGTGATACAAGCGATCACCCACCTAGGTACTAATCAGGCTCTACGTTGCTTAACTTCGGTGATCTTACAGTAACCGGTCTTCAAAGTGACATGCCTGTAAGCTTATATTTGTTCGAGTTCAGAATATTTCAGTAGAGATTCGTATACACACTTGTATATTATTTCGGTATTATCGTTTTTTAAAAATAAAAACAAAACAAAGGTTATTGCTTCAAATTAAAAATAGCAAATAAATAAATAAAATAAACAAGTCAAAATTAATAATAAAAACAAAGACATTAAATCACTTTAATATACCAAAAATAATATCCCTTAACGTCCTCCTTTTGGTTTCCCTTTTATTAATGTCAAGAGATTTTCGAATATTTTAGTGTTCTCTAATTTGTTGGCTGAGAAGGGGATGACTTCTCTGGTAGTCGGTCGTTAAAAGTTGTCACCTTCTTAATTAAATCTTGGTAAAGGCCTCTAATCGCAGTTATTACCATCGGGACAATTAATGCCAGAGAAAAGCAGCGACGATCGATTCGAGACATCGATAATTATAACATTTCCAAGAAACCAAAATGAAAAAAAGAATTTTAAAAAAGAATATTAATATCGTAGTTAGATAGCATAAGGTAATAGCTTTGGAAACAGACAATAAATATTTTGGGAAAGGTTTCGTCATCAATGACAAATAGAAGAATAACATTGAACCGACAATCAACATATACAGATTGGACAACGACATTACAAGTACTATCAATAAAATCCCAGCATTCTCCGTAAGAACCCCCCCCCCAAAAAAAAAAAAAACTTTGAAGACTTCCAGTATTTACGTGAGTTTACAAACGACAGACATGTTCAATAAGAGTTATTTAGAGTTAAATTTCTGAAGATGACAAATTGCTCTGATTTGCTGGGTGGCTGAAAGTCCAAACAGTTCTCCCGATAATTTCTAATTCAAATTTAAATTCATCACGGTATTTCTTTGTCCGTGTCACTTTTTCTATGTGTACTTCTTAAATGAAATATCTACACTTGCCTTGATATAATTCATCAAGGAACGAAACCCATTGACATGAAAGGATTTCTTTTCATCATTCCGTTCATTAATATTGTCTTTACAGATACATTTATTTATATGTTTATACGTTCTTTTTATAGATACAAATATTTAAGTAAATTCTCTGTTTTTATAATAAACAGTATTAACAACATTTACCGGCCTGAATGTCCGAGAGATTTTCATAGAAAATATGCGGTAAATGTTGTTAATACTGTTTATTATAAACGGAGCATTTACTTAAATATTTGTATCTATAAAAAGAACGCATAAACATAAAAAATGTCTTAAAATAATTCTCGCACTTTGTCCATTCCATAATGTTTGACGTCATTTGTTTACATTTGGATACGCATCGAGCAGATATGAATGTATGAGAGAAAATCATGAAGTAAACAGTAAAATCAACATTGTTAACCGAAACGCTCCTCTGTGGCTAAATCGGTAAAAGCACGTCGATGACGAAACCTTTCCCAAAATATTTATTGTCTGTTTCCAAAGCTATTACCTTATGTTATCTAACTACGATATTAATATTCTTTTTTAAAATTCTTTTTTCATTTTGGTTTCTTGGAAATGTTATAATTATCGATGTCTCGAATCGATCGTCGCTGCTATATGACGGTTCCGTATAGGATACAGGTTTGATTCCGGTCGGAGGACGCATATTTTCTATGAAAATTTCTCGGACATTCAGGCCGGTAAATGTTGTTAATACTGTTTATTATAAACAGAGCATTTACTCTGTATACTGTTTATTATAAACAGAGCATTTTATTTGTATCTATAAAAAGAACGTATAAACATAAAAATGTCTTAAAGTAATTGTTGGACTTTGTCTATTTCATAATGTGTGGCGTCATTTATTTATATCTCACCCCCATATATATATATATATATATATATACACACAGAAAGAGATTTATTTATACCGACAGAAATAACACACAGATTTGAACAAAACAGACGTCATTTTACACCTAAAAGATCCTTTCAACGAGCATTTTTTCAAAGGTGGTCGTTGGCGAATTGCAAAACAATTAAGGACACAGCAATAATAAAGAAAAGAGAGGAAAGTTGGAACGTCAAAGGGTGTGTGATATAATTGCACATGTTAATCCAGAGATGATTTCAATCAGAGTTGGATTATCCCTCCGGATAGTTTTTAATGTGAAGAAGAGAATGACTCTGAGGGAAACTATTCAGAGAAGCCTGGAAGCAACGGAACCCACAAAAAACGCAATAATAATTTCATCAACACTCACAAATCCAAAATCCCAAAAGACCCAACGAAATCCATGAGAAAATTAACAACTGAACTTAAGGGAGATGCTAAGACTATCAGAACACCAGTGAAAGATGACTTAAAACTAAAATCTTGCACAAGAACACCAAAACATTTGCTGGCACGACCCATGAAGGCCAGACGTTTGGAAAGATGCAAGTTCTTACTTATCTTAAATGAAACAAGTTCACTGTGAAAATATTCTCAGACGAAAAAATCTTTGCTGACGCTGTTCTGAATTGTAGGAATGGCAGATATATTGCAGACTTAAAAGTTCATGTCAAGGGCAATTTTAGAACGAAGATTCCAACTCAAATTATGATCTTTGGGGTTGTGGTCTCCGATGGGAAAAATGCCTATCAAATTTTACAAACCTGGTGAAAAAGTTAATGCTGATGCTTATTAAAAGACTCTGAGGTACAATGTATTACCATGGCTCAAAGCCAACTACCCCGAGGGAAACTCTGAATGGACTCAGGATGGTGCTTCTGCCTAAAAAAAAACAAAAAAGTACAGATTTTCTACAAATCCAATTTTGCTGATTTTTGGCCATCATACTTCTGACCCTCTTCCAGGCCAGATCTGAAACCTCTAGATTATGATTACTTGGAGAGTTTTAGAACATGCTACTAACAGAACCTCTCATCCAAACGTTAACTCTTTGATGGATACCGTCGGGAAAGAGTGGGAAAAGATGTCCTTTCTTTTATTTTTGGAGAAGAGTTGTAGAAGTTAAACGGGGGGCGTGTGGAGGCAGTAATTGAAAAACAAGGCGGACATATTGAATAAAATGTTTCTTTCATTTTGTATTTGTATGTTAGAACCATTCGGATTTCTTTAAATAAACTAATTAATCAACTGCAAGGATTTGTATTTCAATACCAAAATTATACAAGTTTTGACCCCCACCCAGTATAATTTGATATATGATAAATCCCTTCAAGAATAGACAACCCCATCGTCTCAAAGCGAGTTAGTTAGTTTTGAAAAATGGATGCAACCTTCACTTAGGCGATTGTCACGAAGAGCCCTTTTAAACAATGAAGTGAAGTTCCAAGTGTTACATCGAGCAATAAAACAGAGGAAGTTGTGGAGAATCATGATCACCCACAGCCTGAAAGAGCAAAGCATATGAAAGAAGTCGGAGAAGAAGACAAGTAATCTTTCAGATCTATTTGCTTGCCTTCAAACGAACACTTCTGGCCACTTCATTCCATTCTGTCATCTATAAATCTTTCTAGGTTTTACTTTCTGATTTCGGGTATAACATAATTTTCCTATTCTGATTTATCTCCCTTGGAATAGATGACGTTGAATAATTATCTATATTTACATATCACACTGTGTGGAAAGGGAAGCCTGGTTTCCTTTAGAATGACTCTCAACTGCTGCGTTTACTCATGCGCAAACATAATCTATGGAAGGCCGTTAATATCAAAACTGGACATCCAATTACTGTCACTTCCTGCTGCTAATGTGAAGGGTATCGCGGCAATAAATTCTAAGCATTGTAGGCAATTTAATGGCAATCGATTATTATTTGAATAATAACTCAGCTAAACTTAGTACAGAAATAGACGAAATGGAAACGAAATGAAGTCGGACAAACTGTTAGGCCAGTTTTTCAAAATCAGCTTTTTAAATTAACAGGGCTTGAACGCCTACAACGTGGATTAATAAAAAACTACACAGATTGCTTAGCATAGTCTGACACAAGGTCGAATTATTGAGGATTGAATAGACAGCATCAAAGACATGAAGATGTATATCGAAAAATAATTTCATATTGTTGTTGCTGCTATAGAAGGTGCAAGGAGAGTTTGTTATGCATAAGGTAGATACGAATCTTTGGCTGATACTAACCCCCCCGCTGCTAACAGGTTTTCCAATCTTCTGTTGTACATTTTTAGATCCTTTGCAAATTGTAGAATTTCTTGCTTTTATCTAACAAGAATGGCACCCTTCTGTAGCTCATCTGTATCAAGGTTCGAGGTCTTGTGCATTCAAAGAGGCTCTTTTGTCTGAAAAAGGTTTGCTTTTAATTCACTTTCCCACCTCAGATTTCTTCCATATGTTTCCCCAGATGTGTATATACGTTGCTATACCAAAATTTATTTTGTTTTTTAATGACAGGAATTGTTCTTATAGAAGGTTGATTAAATCCTTCCAGAATAAAATGAATAAATATTATGGTAATCTTCAACAATGTTAAATCTTTGTAATTGCTAAATCATTCATATTCATTGAGAAAGAAGTCTAACTAGCTTAAAAACTGCCCAATCGGGTAACAATTAAGCTAATTCCTTCGTAGGGTTCTTGATTCGTCCTTTGGCTTGTTCAGGAATTTAAGAGTCCCTAAATCTTTGCATATTCACAGCATTGGAAGTTCTCCGCTTCCGTTTGATTTGGGTTTTCATTTCCACGGGACTTTCTTTTCCTCGCCGCATCCTTGGATCTTATGACTGCAATCTGGTCCTCTATTGGAAATGAGATGCTATAAAACCGTTACAAATATTTTCCTGCGTAGACCACATCAAAAACGACTCAGTGCGAGATGCTATCAGGCCCGTTAGAATGCCCCACATTCACCATCAAGAATAGATAGTTGAAATATTAAGTTGATAGTTGAAATATTCTACAAGGTAGAACATTAAGCGAAACACGGAGCAGCGGAAGAAGTCTTCATCTAGTTAATATTTTACCATTATGTGGAAGCTTCTTTCCGTACTTCCAGGAATATTATTTGTAGTCATTCAGAAGATGTTGCATTCAAATGGATCCAGTTTGCATAGAGATAAAGACTTGAACTCAAAGTGATACTGAAAGTAAGTCACGCAAAAAGTTATGAGCACCTTGACATCCCTCAAGATTTACATAAACTCAGATTAAGATGGACTTACAAATTTCTCCTGTTAAAGGATCGAAGACAGATTTATCTGGGTCTCTCAGCTTGAGTTTTTAGTGCAGTTAACGGAAAGAGTTTTTTGGAGAAAAGGATGGAAGTTATTGCAAATTCACAAAGAACTTGTTAATGTAAAATCGCTAAGGAATTTGGAATATGAATGTATTATCAATGTATGCTGTCCAAGTTACCCAGAAAAAATATGCTCATTAACGTTTTGATAGGAAAAAACAAAACTGAGAGATCCTTCGAAATCAAACGGGAGATCAAAGAAAGCTAGTTAGGTTATCTGTACCCAACTGCAAATGGACAGCTCGTCAAGGTAGAAAGCAGTAATATAACTGAAGCGTCAATTGATATAATAAGAAGAATCCGACGTTAAAGTAATCTTATTGGATGCATTGCAGCTAAAGAAGAAGCCGCCATTAAAGGAAAAAAATCAAATAAGACGAAAACACTGGGTGAAAGAACATCTACGATGGAATAATGAAAAGTTGGACAAATGGATACATACCGACATCAAATAGAATGCATTCTTATGAAAGATATTTTTCCAAAGATTAATTGTATTAAGGGACAATTCAAAATATACAACAAAGACAGTTTAAACATGACAACCAGAATTACTAGCCAGAAGGCAGGTAAAGTTTAAGGAACCAAATTTATCACAGACGGGAGAATAGCCTAGTGGGTTAAAGTGTTGGTTGGTGACATAGTAATTATGAATTAAATCCTTACATCGACCATTGTGTAGTTGAACTCTGAAAAACAATAACTGAGCTGTACTAAAAATAAGAAGGAGATATCTTGAGATATGTGCAGTAGATCGGGAACAGTTTACCTCCTAAATTAAATAAAGGGTTACGTTCGGAGCTCCCTATAGGTTACTCGGATCGACGTAAACCCAAGGAAGCCCGGAAGGCACAACGACCGAAATATTGTGATAACAATAACAACAAAGATGAGGACAATAGTCTGAATGTAAAAAATGTAAATAATGATAACTCCTGATCACAGAAATTCAGACAGAAGGCGATCAGGTGATAAAAACAACAAAGACGAGGACAATAGTCCGAATGTAAAAAGTGTAAATAATGATATCATCCTAGAAATCCTATCAGTAACAATAAAGACATTTCGATGGACGAGGTTTAATGGTTGGAGCGTAATCAAAAAGCATTGGTGCAAGAATGTTGGTAAAAAAAATACTTTTTTAAAGTCTAAGGTCCTATTGCCAAATGTAGCAGAATCTGGGATAGTCCAGCATGATGGATTACCTTGCAATACATGACTTGTAACAAAAATGTTCAATGAAGAAGACATTGCATTGTAATAAGATAAACCCGCTCAATGTTCGGACCTTAACATAATGGCAGCCATAAGCCTCCTTAGAATTACTAATCAGTATTTAGTATTCCCCTAAATATATTGTTGTAATCGGAAACCGTTTCAGCTACTGTTCAGACACAGAAGTACTGTGTCAGCCATATTGTGTATGTGCGAATAAAAAGCAGGAGTATCGCTTCTGCAGATTAAAGTCATCAGACTAAACTGTTTTGTAGTTGTTATTACAGACCATCATACTCAACCAAAAGACCATTTTCAAATAAGTATCCCAAAGAGAAAGAAGTTAATTGGGAAGCAAGAATCCGACAGAAATTTCCACAAGCGTGATAGAAGAAACTGTTAGCATAGAACTTACGGCTACATCTAGACATTTTAACTGTAAAATGATGAGACCTTGCCGCTTAAATCCATAAAGACTAGTTTCCACAGAAGAAAGTTCAATAAAATAATTACCATGAAAGTATTCATAGGAATAACCCCAGGAAGCTACATTTCGACAGTGGGAAAGGAACTGAAGTTCCTAAAGTTTTCAGATAAAAAATTTATATTGCGATGTAAAATAAGAGAAAAAAAAACTATTGGCTGAAAATATGAAAGCAACTCGTAACCGGGAACTAAGGAAACGAAAGCACCATTTCAGTTATTGTCCAGACACGGAAGTCCCGTGTCGGCCATATTGTGTATGTGTGAATAAAAAGCAGGAGTATCGCTTCTGGAGATTTAAGTCATCAGACTAAACTGTGTTGTCGTTGTTATTACAGACCCCACTTACCAAGTTGTAACATATATAAATTAATTTATTTTGTAAAATTGTAGGTTTTTTTCCATCAATAAAAGCAGTTCATTCTGTTTCCTCATGTGGCTCACAATTTTTGCTTTACTTATTTTCCGTATTATTTTGTTCTGTATCTCCCTTCGTACTTTTTATATGCGACAACTTGACTACAGATCCAGCCTGGTTGGGTGAACCCTTGAATCATCTATACTAACCAAAGCGGGTTTCTTGTTGCGCTCCACGCCCTCGAATCTATATCTGCTGGCTTTTGTTTGGGGCAACAAACATAAACAACAGTATTTTTTCAAGAATTTTTTATGGAAAAAAAGGATGCAAATTATGATGAAAAGTTTTGTCTAATCTTTAGTAAGACTTCGCAATTTAAGGTTGCTTGCTATTAATTTCACAGTTTAATTAAATAATAATAATAATAATAGTAATAATAATATATATAATTATTATTTAATAATAATAATAGTAATATATATATATATATATTATATATATATATATATATATATATATATATATATATATATATATATATATATAAATTATTCACACAAAACTAATGCAAAGGTTAATGATTTAAATGGCGAGACATCCATCATCGCAAACAATTCAAATAGTATACAAAACCTCCAGATCCGTTATGAATGAATTGATCCTTGTTTATATAAATTTCTGTCGTATTATTGTTATTTTTTTTCGTCTGTTCCTACAGACATCTTCAGTATAGAATAGATGTTGTTTTTTTTGTTTTTTCTCTTAGTAATAAGAGGACAACGAAAATATGTGTGTTGTATCCGAAAATGCTATTGAAAAAGAGGTATTGGTTTTGGAACGCGCCAAAGCAACACTGAGTTTGATTTAAAATTTTTAAAGTGTTTGCGTTTATACCAAATATGGTGATGAACTAAGAGAAAAAAAAAAAAAAAAAAAAACAACATCTATTCTATACCTGAAGATGTCTTTGTAGGAACAGACGAAAGTTTGTAGTAAAAAATAACAACTAATACGGCAGAAATTTATAAAACAAGGATCAATTCATTCATAACGCATCTGGAGGTTTTTGTATACTATTTGAATTGTTTGCGATGATGGATGTCTCGCCATTTAAATCATTAACCTTTTGCATTAGTTATGTGTGAATAATTCATGTATTTGTAAATTGATTGCACGTTTATTGTAATATATATATATATATATATATATATATATATATGTATTGTTTAGAACTTGCTATATTTATGGGGGAGAATGACCAATGATGACGATAGAGCGTTTTTAGATATAAAAAAATCACTACTGTATAGGGATTATTACTTTCACGCCTTCAGAGAACATCGGTAATAGCTGTCTGTTGCAGTCTTTTCATATCTATCTATCTATCTAATTTACCAGTTCTTGCGTTCGTAAATTTCTTCTGGATATTTTAAAAATAAATCTTCATTTAAACATAGAAAATTTGAAAAAAATCTAATTTTATCTCAGAATTAATTATAAAGAAATATTCTGTATTAATTAAATTTCAGTTAATTACAATAGCCATAATTAACGAATCGTTTGCATTGCTTTGGAGATAACATATTGACAGTCACATCAGCAAATCAATAAGCGATTATTTGACAACATAGATATTGATTTTCAGTATAATCTGCTTTTTTGCTCTATCTATCTATCTATCTATCAGTAGGTTTCTATCTATCTATCTATCTATCTATCTATCTACCAATAGAGGTTAAGCTTAAGAAATCAGACAGCCGAGTTCGAATTCTACTCGAGTTCATTTCAGTCTCGTTTTTTTGTTTGGAAATTTCTTTTTCTGAACGTTTTCAAAAGTTTAAAATAAAATTCAATTTAAGCAAATCGTGTGTTTTTCCATTTGATTTTTCTCATAAGGAATTCTTTATTAAGCAACATTAAAAAAAAAAGAAATCCAGTATCATTATGGCCGCCATTAACAATGTATTGACATATTTTTGAAGATAACAAAGTCGTAGTCACATCAATAACACAATCAATAATGAAAAAAAACAAATTGCCATTTAACACGATTCAGAGAGGAATACTGATTGCATACATTGAACATTATACAATGAAAGTTTCGAATGAAATTTCAGCTACGTGGCAAACAGAGTTCAAATTTCGGTTGAAATTTTGTTCACTTATGTGAAATCTGGAAAAAATATGCTTAGTCACCGGTATGTCAAAAGAGGAAAGCGTATGAGTAAGAACTTGGTGAAACCATTCCTACATAATTAAAACAATATTCATAAAAGCTGTTGATTAAAAAGAAAATAATCATTTTTTTATTTCAGTCCCGATCACGATTCTCACGCGTCGGGTACCCCTTGAGCGTCGTTGGGGTACCACATCTACTGTATCCGTAGCAGCAGTGGTGTGTCTTGGGCAGAATAACCTGACAGAGCCCAAAACTTCCGAGCTGGTTTGAATTTATAGTTTTCCTTCTACTAGAGTGGTTGCCAACCAAGGCTATACACGCAGTCTACCCTGCTATTTAAACCATAGATGTAAGGGAAAAGAGATGGTGTCATGCCTTTCGCAAGATTATATGCGCGTAAGTGAATGTAATGGTTGTTTAATTAGCGTAGCATAAATGTGGCACAAGGCCGAAAGTATGGGGCACCCAGTGAGGATCGAACGCACTATTCAGTCGTAATTGATCTAGCGAGACTGAAATGAACTCGAGTAGAATTCGAACTCGGCTCTCTGATTTCTTAAGCTTAAACCTCTATCCCTCACATCACGTCGCATAATTTTATCTGAGTAAAGTCGGTGAATTTGTGTCTCTCGGAATATAAATCTAAAACCTGTGAATTTAATAGCACACTCATTCGTATTTTTTGTGCTTCATTTAATCTGGCTATTTTTCCCTTTCACTGCAAAAAACATGGAAACTGGCGGCTTCTTCTTCTTCTTCTTCTTCTTTCACTCTCTTCTTTTTCTCTCTTCTTCTTTTCTTCTTCTCCTCCGTTTCTTCTTCTCCTTTTCTTCTTCTCCTCCTTTTCTTTTTCTCCTTTTCTTCTTCTCCTTCTTCTTTTCTTCTTCTTCTTTTTTCTTTTTCTTCTTTTTCCTTCTTCTTCTCCTGCTTTTCTTCTTCTCCTTCTTCTTTTCTTCTCCTCCTTTTCTTCTTCTTCTTCTTCTTTTGTTCTTGTTCCTGTTATTCTTTTCTTCCTCTTGTTCTTCTTTTCTTCTTGTTCTTTTCTTGTTGTTGTTGCTGTTGTTGTTGTTGTTGTTCTTCTTCTTCTTCTTCTTCTTCTTCTTCTTCATCATTATGCATACTTGTGTTGGCGGCAACCCGAACGAAAAAAAAAAAAAAAAAAGGAAAGAAAAATTCCTTCTGACTACTTCCTATTTAGTGAGTCTTTCATCGCGGCTCCAGAAGAAGTGAATAGTAATTCTAAGGCACTTCAATATCTAATCGATATTTAATCATTGCAGACATCTAAAAAAAAAAAGAGAAAACAGCATGCTGGATTGGCATTCATGAATAGATATTTCCCGCCAAACCTCTCAGCATTTGTCAGTTTCTGATCATGCCCGTGTGCAAATAAAAAAATATTATAAACGACTTGGCTATTTATTAACAAATGTTTAGGAGAGAATTTCATGCGATCTTTTAGCAGTGATGGATTTATTCTACTTAAGAATTTCAATTGTTTCAGGTGATAAAAATGGGTTACTATTTAAACCAGATTGAATAAGCGTTTTGTCTCTATCACTGTCTGCCCGTCTATCACTTATTATATATATATATATATATATATATAATTACAAAAATATATATATAGTACAGGTAATAAATCCGTTGGGATCCTAGTAATATCAAATAATAAAACTGACTGCCAAAAACAGCTCAATGTATTTATTATAACAGAGCATATAAATTACACAATAAAATACAAAAATTACTTCATATGAGGGGAGGGAGTAGATCTATTTCAACCAACAAGATGTACGTTAGTCTTATTCAACCCCGGGTTATAGACTGTGTTTGTGTCGGAATTAGAAATTTAAACTTTAACTTTGACAGCAGTCGAAAAATTGATACAGAATTTAATATATATTTTATTATTTAACACACACACACACACACACACACACACACACACACACACACACCTATATATATATATATATATATATATATATATATATATATATATAAAGGGTGTCTCAAAAATGTATACACGTTGTGAAGCTTTCTTGAGAATTAACTCAAACAACTAGAACCAACCATATTTAATTAAAATAATGCATATAGCCATAATATATATTGTAAATGCATGCTCTTAAGATATTGTCATGACATGCTTTCAAATTGATGTCCGTTATGATGCAGACATTGCAGACAACGTGACACAGTAGAACTACAAACAGGAATCAACAATTGTATAAAATTCTTGAACTTCTTTGGAAACTTTCCATCACCCTTTCTTGCTTCACGGAGCGTGGTTTATATCACTGGTCCTTCGGAACGATTTTTGTGCTCAGTGTGTACAGTACCATATTTGTATTTCCAGTAGCATTTCAGGATAAACTTTCTTTATTCAAAGCTAATCTTGGATAAAATTAGTTATGTAACATGGCACAGACCGTGTCCAAATGTTTAATTGCAGGATGGTGATATGGAGGTACTACTAACTGGATAATAATTATTAAAATTCTTAGGAGAGTAGGTTGAATGTTTGAGAAAAAAATCAAAAAAGAAACGGGTTAACTATGATTTGAACAATAAAATGATTTTAAGAACGGTTCCAAATAGAATTGCACTCAGAATTAACTAGTCAACATTTAGTAAAATCGAGAAAAACTAAGGTACCCTACTCTATCCACTTCCCATCGATAGAAGAAGACAGGATTTATGTGTTGTTGGATTTTTTTTGGTTCAGAGAAATTGAATTCGGAGGTTTTTTTACTTTTATACTATCTGTCCAAAACGTATATATTCTTACAGAAAAGAGTAGCACACACTTTTCTAGACCGAGAACAGCATATTTGTGTTCGATGCATGGGTTTTTGTTTACATTATGCTACACGTCTAACACTCATATATCCTTATAAACAGATTGACCCAAATTCCTTTAAACCAAGAAGGCATCAGGATTTTGTCTAATTCCCAAGTTTTGTTTCTGCTGATGCTATTCAGCTCTAAACACCATCATATTTAGGGAAAGAAAGAAGATTCTGAACAAATGAATGCCATATGGTTATGAACAAGATCTAAGATTAAGATAGTTGAGCCGGAGAAATTATATATATATATATATATATATATTTGCAAAATTTTAAATGATTACATAAACAACGGCAACCAGGCCCAAAAGACACACGCACAGAGTGGCGAGCCCAGGAGAAAGTCGACTCGGATTTACCCGGGATTACATCGTAGTACAGCCTGCGATTAAAAATACACACCGCAGTTTTCGTGGCCGGAGTGAAAACACAAACACCTGCACGATAGAAGAATTGAATGAGAGTTGACCGGCCGGTCACTGTTTTAGTGGTTGCTACTAGCTTATCAAATAAACATCCGGCAAGTAGAGATCTTAATCCTTCAGTAAACAATAAAGACATTTAATTCATCAGTTTTTTTTATATTCCATAAACACGCTGTTAGAATTATCAGCAATATTGTGCAGATTTATTGAAGAATTCCCAACGTTGTTTTTGGACACAAAACAACAGAAGTTACCCCGGAAGTTACCTGAGGAACTTTATCAAGACAAATTCTCAGAGAAACGCAATCTATCCAGTTAAATTAATCGTATTTTTGAAGCATTTGAAAAATTGCAATTGGTGCATTTTATGCACTAATTTTATGCATTTTATGCAATTAGTGCATTTTCTGCATTTCGGCTAGTCTTGCGCACTGGAATGCGCGGAGATGTATGATTCCATATTATTATTATTATTATTATTATTATTATTATTATTATTATTATTATTATTGTTATTTGTTATTATTATTTCCTTGGGTTTATCTTGGATACACATTTCCTTCCGGATCCCAACCAAAGACCCTAAGTTCAGAAATGGTTTCATGACATCTTCCAAAGTTCATTTTTGTAAAAAAAACAAAAAAAAACATAAACTCACACACAATTTATATAGGTAAAGATCTTCGTAATATGTGGGCTATTTTCATAAGCCCATTTTTTTTTGTATTTCTTTAAGGCATAGGCTACCAGGAATCCTTTCAATGAGTTTATCGGAACCTTTTCCGAACAATCCGATAGCTCCAACTAAAACCAGAATTATTGACGTCCTCATGTGCCACATTTATGAGTTTCCAATTCCACCCTTGTATTTTGATAGTCTTATTTAATCATCTTCTACGATACATTACAATCTGCAAGGACTGCCATGTCAATAAGAAAACAAATTCTGTTCTTGTGATCTCTAATCCCGATGTCTGGGCGATTAGCTTTTATTGTTCTGACTGTGAATATTGTGAAGTCCCATAAAATTGTTTCATGTAACCAGATCTGTGTGGTGTTCATACCAATTTCTTGTAGTTTCCTTTCCGCAGAAGTTGCAGATTTTCCAGTGCAGATATTAGTCCACTCTTTCATGCCGTGTTTTATATTCATGGGTGCTAATACCGTGCAACCTGATACAAGATGGTTAATTGTTTCTGGATATTTATCACAGAATCTCCATTTTGAGCTAACACAATTTTTCATTATGTGTGCTTGATAATTTCTAGTTAGCAAGCATTGGTCCTATGCAGCAAGAATAAAACCTTCGGTTTCAGCTTTTAACCCTGCACTACGTACGGTTTTTGTCTACATCAACTTGCTTGGTATGGGCAGAGTATTAACCGTGAAGTGGTTTATCTTATTGTTTCTGTATTTGGTCAGTTGCATTTGCCTTTGCTTTCTTTTTTAAGTACTTTTCAGTCGGTGTATTGTGCTTTAATTGTATTTCATCACCCATTTGAAACTCTATTTTGAACTTGTTGATTCCCTTTATTACTGAATAAAGTCGTTTACTATATTCATGTTCTTTGACAGATCATCGTTCGGTCTTTTGTAGTTTCCAGGATCATTGAAGGCGAATTGTTGTAGTTTTGTAAGACAGTTATAGTTGAACTAATCCTCTGCCTCATTCGGATCATGGTACATGCAGACGATCAACATCAGCTTTAGGATGATACATGCGGTGACAGGTAAGAAGCTTTATCGTTTTGGCGTCCATTCGCTTAATGTCAGCTATAGTCCAGTTACGGATGTTAAAATTATATTGCACCACAGGGACAGCCAAGGTGTTTATGGCTGATATTCTGTTTTTTTTTGTTTTTAAATTCAGTTCGGTATTTAGTACCAGACGCACACGCCTGTAGCCTTCCTTTCTTACCTCCACTTCATTTGCTGTATTCCATCTCCGCTAATTCCTAGGTACCTGTAGGCTTGTTCCAGTTCCCTAATCTTTATACACAAAATCAAAATCTATTGAGTGTGTTTCTGTAATTCTCCCTTTCTTGAATGTTACTTTTTCACATGTATCTAATCCGAAATCCATATCTATGTCGTCACTGAAACATTTTACAGTATTGAGGAGAACCTTCAGCTTATTGTCGTCTTTGGTAAAGAGTTTGAGATAGCTTCCTGTTTAGTTTGTAACCCAGAGTTTCCCAAACTTCTTTAGGCGCAAAACCCTTATGGGTTCTGTTGAGGGGTCCACCTCTTTTTATACAAATGGACTCACCCAGTGTATACTTATACTACTGAGAGAGCAAGAGTCGAGTCCAGACTAGAGTGACAGAGTAAAAGGTTGTAGGTAACCGGAAGAGTGAGGGGTGAGGTAACAGCGTTGTATGAATCACAGTGAGTGAGCACGTAGACTCAGTATGAAGTCATACAGCGATACTTCAATACCAAAGACTGTATATATATTTCGCTACTAACGCGTATTCCTGGAACTACTAACCTGCTTTACCAGTTTGTATTATTACGTTAATACATTATTTTCATATATTCATTCCTAGCGTTTGTTATTTATTGGTACCGGATTTCAACCCGGAATCCACAACAGGTTCAGAAAATGGGGTGGGGCAGGTACTGGTACTTTTATATGGTCGTAATATAAATAAATATTTTCATATATTTTTGTAAATAATAAATACGTTCAAAAACCAATTAAAAATAGTATACATGTTGATATATATTTTCAGAAAATGTCATTTTTTTATTTTCAAACTTCCCACAAGTAAGACGAAACAGAATTACTAACAATACGAATATGAAATTTATTTCAGAATTAATCAGAATTTTTTGGAACTTT